ACACTTTCAATAACAGCCCATACCGCCGTTCAAGTCCCCCTATCATGAAGAATGAAAACAATCTGCGTGTTGATGGAATGTACTCTCTTTCTATTGACGAACACGTCCTCATCTTTTGATGGCGCAATTATTTTTATGTGCGTCCCGTCAATAGCACCGACCACACCGGGCATACCTGCATTGCCATGAAGTTGGCTTTGATCCTGTGTAGTTGTTGATTGTCCAAAGGAAACCGGATAAACTGTTGGATGATATGTGGTCTAGAGAGCGCGTTGATGGTTTGGTTTATGGCACAGCTGACTGATGATTGCAATATTCCTAAATCGTCGGCATTGCAAAGTTGCATTTTCCCTGTTGCTAAATATCGTAGTGTTGCCAAACATTTTATTTCCGGACTAATCGGGTTATTCCTGTTAGTCGGGGATGTTATTGCATCCCGCACTAATTCCACAACAAGTTTGATACCCTCACGATTTAGCCTATATCTCTTGATCAATTCACAGTCTTCCATTGTCTCCAAGACATTTCGTCTCTCAGCCATTTTCAGATTCTTTGTGAATAGGTCTTACTGAGTTAGGAGTCCTCTCGAGGACTTTTAAGCTCTCCCAGACTTAGGTGCTACTTTTAGGCCTAAAATACTTTGTGAATTGCTCTTAGTGAATAAAATTAGGAGTCCTAAATGTAAGACTGACACGCCCATTATGCTTAGGAGTTTCTCCTAAATTCGCTAGTTAGGAGCTACTTTTAGCCCTAAAATCCTTTGTGAATACGGCCCCAGGTCTCTAAATTTGTTCATCTGCCTGTGATTTGGATCCACTCCAAAATAAAATGGCTTCTTCCCTAGCCCATTATTCACCATAACACCAAGTTTCATGAAAATCGGGCTAGCAGTTTTCCGTAATCCTGACAGAACTTTCTTGGCGGAGGAAAAAGTGATCATGATGGCAGACAGATACACACACATACAAGCACATACTTGGCTTGTATCTTGTGGAACAATGCCAGCATCTGCTGTTTTGTAGTCCTTTCCTATCCTCACTCTCGTACATGTTTCTCATTTCCTCACACACACTGAGTAAGATGCTCCTGCCTGCAGTTCCCAGCTATTTATTAGACTACTGTCTCCATTAAAAACCAACCGGGAAGAAAAGTTAATGGCCGTTTTATAATTACACGTACTTCCCTACATGCTGTTTCACTCTCTTCATATGTCCTGAATTCTCCTCACCTCTGTGCAATCTGAACTTTCCATGTGGTAAACTGGTAAAAGTAGAGCATGACCACAATGTTCCAAACAAAGGTACACCATCAGTTTCAGCCTCATCTCCTCCAGACATTAGGTTCACTTTTTTTTAGTTCAAAACTAATTATATCATTATTACCCAATTCTGGCATGGCTTTACAAAAGGTCACTGAGCGTCCAACATAGAAAGGCCTTTGTTGGTGGGGGTGCATGCATGTGCCCAGTAAATTACATGGAAAACATTCCATTAGTTTAACATATTTTTGAGGTAACATGTGCCTGTTGCTGATGTTTAAAGAATGATTAAGGGTCAACAAATATTTGGAATCATCCTTTTAAGAAACAGCACATACAGTAAAAGCATATATCCTGCCAGTCTGAGCAGTGGCTGATGGGATATGTTGTGTTGGACAGGCAGACAGAGTGGCCAGTGCTGATGAGTGAACCAGATTTCTCCACTGACTGCTACAATCATCACTGAAATCCCCCCTCAGGAGGCTACAATAATCTGAAACATACACACACACACACACACACACACACACACACACACACACACACACACACACACACACACACACACACACACACACACACACACACACACACACACACACACACACACACACACACCTTCACGCACACGCACACACACATCCGAGTGGGAGATGTGAGCTGAGGAAACAGGAAGTCCCTGCAGGCTACAGTTGTGGCAGACTATTTACATTTCTCTTTGATCCCAAACCTTTTATTTTGTCTGGGTTCAAACTTTAAACATCACTGGAGTATTACATTCCTACGGGCGTGGTGAACTCAAAAAGATATGGATGACTGTCCGGCAAGTCTCAAATGATTGAGGATGAGTGACTTGGGAGTTCCTGGGGTCATCATGGTTAGTAGTAGGGTTTGGAGAACGTTTTTACTTTTTTTTGGTACAAAGAAATTCCTGGAAAGTAGTAGTCAAGCTTTAAAACTCTAATTAATTAACTTAAATATCTTCATAAAAAGTCATAACAAGTCTCTTAACAAGTTATACAACCACCAACAGTGGTCAAGTTCAATGTGGGGGAAGAATCCTCATACCCAGTCAAGTGCTTGAACTTTCTAACAGTACCTTGTTAATGGGAAAAACCACTGAGTCAAGTTTTCCTTATTAGAAATATTAGAATGGTGATTGCATGATTTATAAAAAATGTGTAGCAAGAAACGTGAATTTCTTAAGACCAGTAATCTTAAGATTTATACCCAGTGGCTTCAGCCTTAGGTTGGATTCTGCCTGTCATTTGAGAATCTGTTTTAGGGTGCTGAGGGGGCTGCAGCAGCCCCATCTGCGAGGCTCCACTAGCACCTCCCCTAGCGCGTCACATTTTCGCCGCTAAAAGAGTGTGTGTGTGTGTGAGGAGCTCCACGGATTGTGGGTCCATTTGGGTATGGGCACGTCACCATACCCAGGAAGTAAACAATGGAAAAAGAGAAATCTCCAACGAGGCGTTCTGGGGCAGCATAGACAGGTATTTTCTGTGTTAGAGTTTTACTCGCTACAGGGTGTACTTTGAGGGTTTGTGACTCTGTAGACCGTTGACATGCAGTAAAACTTTCATAACACAAGGGGACGGCCGGGTAATAACCAGAAAAGGATGACATGGGAGCTTTAATGTTAGGGCGGTGGGGCAGAGAGGACAGTTTGAGGGCATATTTCAGGAATGAAATCAGGAAGCTCAGAGAAAAAGGATTTACGAGCCAACAACAGAGACTGTTAAGTATGGCACACTTAGCCCAGTGTATATCATAATGGGTAAATTACAATACACAATAAAAAAGTGATCACCATTGATCCAAATGTGCTGACTATTTTAAAAAGCTGCTCATAAAAAGTGGTGTCAGTGGTTCTGCTTTTCCATAGTTTATTTAGTACTATAAGTTTCACAACTGTTTACTGTTTATTGTTTTGGAGTGCCCCAGGGATCCATCATAGATCCCATATTGTTTTCTATTTATATTATATAAAGCCTAAACTCACATCATTGGCCTTCCCCATATTTTCCCAAAATCATGTGTAGATGATATCCAGGTTTACCCTTCTTTTAACCCTAACCATTTTAACATATGGATATTGACTGGTTATTAAAATACATAATTATTCTTGCCAGTATAGGTCCTCCAAATGCTGCCAGTCCTCGTTACAAGTTCAACTTCATAGCCGACGTGGTGGAGAAAATCGCTCCTGCTGTGGTCCACATCGAACTCTTCCTCAGGTACTAACTGTGTGCATGTGTGTGATGATACATTTAAAAGGTACACTTTTAGAATCCATAACAAAAAAACGTTGCCAATATGATTAAGCGAAGGAGTTTCATATGGTAGATGTAATATCCTATTTCTAGTGGGGCTTACTCTGGTCCACATATGGAGACACTTTATATAATGTCCAGAGAGTCATGATTAGTATGTATTACCTTGAAATACAAGTTATTCTCTTCTAAAATGTTGTTGAAATAAAACAAAAATGTTATCTATTTATTATCCTAAGCGTTAAACTTCAGATAATAGGATTACCAATATTTGAGCACTTAATTTTATGAAGCTAGTTCAGCTAACTTTTTGTTACCATACCCCAGGCATCCTCTCTTTGGGCGGAACATCCCTCTGTCTAGTGGATCTGGGTTTTTGATGTCAGAAAACGGACTGATTGTAAGCAATGCACACGTAGTCTCCAGCACTACACCAGTGTCCGGTCAACAGCACCTCAAGGTACTGAAATGCTGTTTAATCATTTGTACTTCATTTTAAATACTGTAATACATCATTCAACTATACAAGTTGCAGAAAATGAACAGCAAACAGTTATATTGTACCCTAAACAAAGCAAACTTATTACAAATGGATGAAGCCAAATCCTGCCATATGCTATGAGTTATTTTTTGTATTTAATATGGTTATTCCTTCCATTCTTTCTGAAGGTCCAGATGCAAAATGGGGATGTATATGAAGCCAACATCAAAGACATTGACAAAAAGTCAGACATTGCTACTATCAAAATCAATTCACAGGTGAGTGTATGACTTTATGAGATTTCCTTAAAAAGCAATACAAAAGAACTTGGAGGAAGACCATTCTAGTCAAATAACCTTTCACAAAAACAGTACTTAAAGTAAAGTTGGTCAATGCAAATTAAGTGGTCCTGCAAAGATATGCATCTTTCATTCACCATACTCACCAAATCATCAAGTTAGACATTCTGTTCAGATTTATTTCTCTGTCCCCTCTGCAAAAAATTGATTGGCAGAAGAGCGTTCATTTTCAAAGCCCCAACAGACTGGAATACTTTACCTGCTGCTATTAGATCTCTTGCATCATGTTTAAACTCACTTTCAACTGGTCTGTACTTATTATTAATGAAACTGATATTGATGAAACTGATTGCTCGACTGTCTCAAATTGTAATGATTGTGTGCATTGCTTGAATTTTACTTAACAGACTGTATGTGGTTTGTCTTGTGTGTCATGTTTTGCATTTTGCCTTTTTGTTTATGTATGTCTGTAAGTTGATGCTATTGTCGGGACCCTCTTGAAAACGAGATGGTGCATCTCAAGGGGTTTATCCCAATGAATACACATTTCTATATATATTTAAACTTTCCAGAGATGGGTCACATTTCCATCTCCAGTACTGGAAGACAAGATTGCCAAAATGTTTTATATTTTCTTCTAGCATGCTAACCCTAACCCAGATAAAAGTTCCAAACCAGATGTGCTTTAGATCAATATGTAGTGTACAACTGAAGTACATTTGGGAAAACTCAAATATAAAGTAAAATTCTCATGCAGAAATCGACTTCTTCAATTCCAGGTGGGCCCTTGAGTTGTCCAATGTCATGTCCATTAAATGAAGAGGTGAACTACATTTCACATCGGACTGTGTTGAAAGGTCCACCCATCCATTAGCCTAGTGCTCGAGCTCACATTCACACCTACAGCCATTCTTTGGAGCTGCACATTTTTTCTTTGTAACATTTTGTTGGACTGCTGGAGGAAACCGGTGCAGACTCCACACAGAAAGGATCCAGCATTGAATTCAATACATATTTATTAAGAATTAAGGAAAGTACTGGCAACAGTAATTTGTCTAATCCCAGAGAACACCCACATGTGTAAAACAAGCGACACATTCTTGGATTGTGTTTTGGTTTAATGCTTTATGGAAGTGTTCTTGATGTGTGTGCACCATTTTATAAAATCCAGCCATTATTGAGTGCCTGTCAGATTGCTACTAGAATTGTAATGACCTTACGTAATAACCTCTTGTTTTAAAAAGGCCTTGTCAAGTTTTGCAAGAATACTAAGAATTATTTCATTGGAAGAGGTTTACTTATTGAGATGAATTCCTTGTTACTGTTGGTTTTAGGCTGCATTTACTGTTGCAATATCACTTCAAAAAAATTTTTTGCTAACGTTTGCCACCATAATCTTTATAGACTGTAGAAGCAGCCCTGGTGTTGACCACTAGTGGTGCTGTTGAGCAGTGTTTTTATGAGCTGGTCATCAAACATTCTTGACGTTCTTCAAATATGGCTCCTAGGACCTTTATGACACCAACAGCAGAGGGTAGAGGGTTGTAGCATCAATAAAAGAGAACAAATATGCTATAAAGCAAGTTTGAAAACCAATTAAAAACATAAGGTAAATGTTTATTTGAGATAGAAAATGCTTTCAACGTGTCTGTAAAGCCTTAGGATAAACTTTAGACATAAACAACACACTTTCTGTTAACAATGATGACTCAGAGTAGCATTGGTCCGCCCGCCCCATGGCCTCCCTGCAGTTAATCTCCAGCAGGTTAATTCATCAAGGCGTTTCTTCAAGGCCAGCACTATTAACGTGTGTGTGTTTCATGTGTCCAGGATCACAGTGGTGTTAACACTGAAGGGTGGGGTCACACCAGAATTTAAACCTCCCCTGGGGTGACCCCAAATACTTCCAGCTTGGGACATCCACAGTGCATGCCAGCAAAGGGATTATAGGGGAATTTTCTCAGTGTGACACTCTTACGTCAATTCCCACCTGACGTTTTAGTAGTTTGTTGTTTTACCGGGCAGAACTTAAACACAGTTGATAAGCCTGGCATCTGTTATCTATTTAGCCAAATTTCAATAATGTTTTTGACGATAAAATCTGGCTTCTTCAAACCCGAGATCAAGATCTGTGCATGCATCATGCAAATGGTTAGTATTAGGCTATAACACTATTAGATTAAGGTTTTGGTTTGAATGGAAATACTAAATCCCCCCTCCAGTAAACCAGATTTGCTGTCACGACCTGAGAAAGTTTAGATTGAGTGTCGCTCTTTGTCCTTCTCCCACTATCATTCAAAGTTTTGCGAGAATTGGAATGCCTTCCATCGCTATCAACTCGTGAAATACTAGTCCAGTGGAACTACTAGTCAAATGATGACGCTCCATTCTCCAATCACACTAGAATCAGTTTGACACTAACAGGGCTACCTCTAGTTGTTGTGGTAAATTATGATGGGAGTAAAGGAGGATATCAGGTGATGTAATATAGCAATTGTGGCAGGGTTGCTTGGACACAGGACTATCACCAAGGAGAAAACAGTTTGTGTCCCATGTGAAACAAACAAGTAAACATTGACTTATTTGAACTTGTGTCCCACACTTACTCAACTTATGTAAGTAACCTATGTAACATTATCAAACCATGTAAACCTAGAGTCATTACAGATAAGAAGAAGAAGAAAGCATATCTTGACAGACAGTTATCCTTTCATCGCAGAGCTGGGGATCTTGAGATTACGGAAGTGCTAGAGTTGAGTTTGCAACTAAAAATCTGTTTAAGAAGTCCTTTATCCTGAAGGACTTACATTGTAGTAACTCAACCCAGTGGGTCCTGATCAAGCCCTGATAATGAAGAGTTGAGAGAGGGATTGTGTTTCAAGATATCCACATTGTAGATGCCTTATTTTGCATGTGTGGAAACTTTCTCTAGAAATTAAACAAATTGCTGTGGGTTGAAACAATATTTTGCCACACAAAATGTGTTTGTTGAGATGAAGAAATCAAAAGGCGGGTCACTCAATGGGCGAATATCTGATTTCCAAAAACAATCTCAAGTGAACCTCAGTTGACATCTTTGCGTTAGAACTGAGAGAGCTGGACCAGGACCAAGACAGGGAGGAGTGAGTGGAAGAAACAAATTCCTAAACCTACGCCTTAAAGAAATCCTTTCTGCTCATTCCTTCTCTTACTCAGTCACACCATCTGTCTGCTGAGCATGGGTTTATACTCAGCTCCATTCTTTTACTCCCTTTTCTCTTTGACCTCGACCCATATTTCCTTTTTACTTGCTTGTGTATAATAAATTTTTCGCCATTAATCTCCGTCACGTTGTTTCCATAGCAACAACAACTTCCTGTCAACAGCGCGAACTCTCCTTTTTATATAGCTGCATAGTGATATTTCAATTAATTTATTATTCATAAATGTCCTTTTATTATACTTTGCATTGTATATTTACCCCAGCTGTTATCATCATCATCATCATCATAGGGCTGTGATTTATAGTTTTCCACACTAAGTGCTGATTGTTGGTCGTGTTTTGATACCCTTTATTTGCCATACTGGCACACTGTGTTCTTGGAAATGTTTAAACAGCAGTTAAAGCACTCACGTGTCAAAAGCTGAAGTCATGGCAGTTATATTTTTAAAACAGATTTGAACCTTATTTTCCTGAGTGTGCAAAATGTATGAATAAGCTTTTGGCACACGGTTCAAATGGGGTGGATGGTAGATTCATGAGCAAGGGAGCAGCAGAAAAACAAAAAATGTAACATTTGACAAACAGGATCATATTTCTTTACCTTTGCTCTTATGTCTTTAACTTACCAATTACAAAAACATACACTTTTTATTATCCACCAGTTTTAGAGAAGTGCTCCTTTGGAAACAGTCCAAAAAAAACACAACGATCTAAACACATGGTGCTGAACATTAAAAGTTATTACCTCTTTAACGCTTTTATGAGTGTCATTGCAGTCATTGCAGTGCAACCTCTGGTTGAATTCAATGTTACACATCCCTTTGTTTAAATTGACAACAGAATGTAACTGGCTAGTTTTGGCTAGCAAAAAGGGAATGGCTAATAGTGATTTAGATCATTCCTTGGTCCCTTCTTACTTATTTATATTAGACAAAAGTACAGACGAGGTGCAACAAGAAAGTCTTGAGTTCCTTTTTTCTCACAATATCAGAGTGGGCTTCCTCCATGTGCTCCAGTTTCATTCCACAGTCCAAAGCAAATAAGGTGAATTGGAAACTTGAAATGGTTTGATACTGCAGTGCTCTCTTACCCTTTGTCTGTTCCTCTTCCCAGAACAAACTGCCTGTATTGTTGCTGGGCCACAGTGCAGACCTGAGGCCCGGGGAGTTTGTCGTTGCCATCGGCAGCCCCTTCGCCCTCCAGAACACCGTCACCACCGGCATCGTCAGCACCGCCCAGAGAGACGGCAAAGAACTGGGCCTCAGGGACTCCGACATGGACTACATCCAGACGGACGCTATTATCAATGTGAGAATATACTGTAGGAAGGCCGAAAACATGTGCTTTGTTTCAAAAATGATTGTGAAGCAGTTCAAAAGGTTGTTAAAAAGTCATATCATGATGTATACTGGATTTTGTGTCTTTCTTTATAGTACGGGAATTCAGGAGGACCCCTTGTCAATTTGGTAAGATTGTTGTTTCTTACCTCAAAGCTTAATTTCTGTAAAATACCTTTCTCTGATATTGCCTGGTTGTTAAACTTGTGAAGATACTGCCAATGTCCGAGTCCTAGCTTTGCGCTGCCCCAAACCGGAACTCTTAATCCTGGATAGCAAACTAAGTCACTTTTTCTACAGTTGTAATACCTGTAACTTGCCTTGAAGAAGAAACAAATCCTGACAAAATTCAAACAGTACAACGTTGATGTTTTATTGCTGTGTCTTTTTATTTTCGAGGACGGGGAGGTGATCGGCATCAACACCTTGAAGGTTGCAGCAGGAATCTCGTTTGCCATTCCCTCCGACAGGATCACTCGCTTCCTCAATGAGTCTCTAGATAAGCACAACAAAGGTGAGCCATGCTAGGATTAAACACCTGTGAGAATCCTGCTGAATATTTAGAAACTAACTGGAGTCTTTTACAGATGTGAGGTCAGTAAAGAAGCGGTTCATTGGGATCAGGATGCTGACCATCACACAAGCGTAAGTCTGAACTGACTAATGTGATTGTTTGGTTGGCAAATATGGAAAATAAAGAAGGAAGCGAAGGTGTCCCACAGGGATCTATTTTGGGTCCTCTTTTATTCACATTTACTGATTAGAAAACACCCTGAATTGTAACCCTTACAAACTTTATTTATCTGCTAGAAATGTTCTTTTTATTCTAACTGAATTGGCTGCTTGTCAGCTTGAACTTTATTTTTACAGTGTTTAAAAAGACTTAAAACTTTCTTTCTGGTAAAACTAAAGTTAGGTTATTTACACATTCTAATAAGAAGCTACTATTGGACCAGAAACTTTATCTAACAAGCCAAACTATAAGGTATGTTTCTTTTTACATATGTTCAGGATATGTTCTCAACAACTCTTTCATATAAACACAATACTTATTGGCTTGTGAGAAAACTGAAGAGGAAATGTCATTCTTTTTCTAAAGAAGGCCTATCTTAGCCTAATAGAAGGTTGGTTTTCCCTATTTGGGATAATAATGTTTACCTAGATGGACTTTCTTTAAGAGACTGTATATACGCTTTTTCCAGGTTAATCGAAGAGCTAAAACTGCAGAACCCAGACTTCCCTAATGTCACCAGTGGGATTTATGTCCATGAGGTTGTTCCTCACTCACCTGCAGAGAAGTAGGTCTACATTATTTATGTGTTCCTCAAATAAAAGCAGTGTTACTCATTTCAGAAGTGAAATTAATGCTTTACCTTTTTACAATACTTTCTTTATCATTGTCCTTGTCTCCAGAGGCGGGATCAAAGATGGTGACATCATTGTGAAGCTGAATGGCAAGCCTCTGATGGCCACAGCTGACCTGCAGGGGGCGCTGCAGGAAGAGACGGCGCTGCTGTTGGAGGTCAGGAGGGACAATGATGACCTGCTCTTTAACATCGAACCTGATGTCATCATGCAGTAGACAACGAAAGCACTGCTCTCTCGCAGAGTTAGAACTACATGTAAGGCCCTATTTTTGCGAATGACATTGGATAGTGGAAGCACTGCAACACTGCAGCTGGACTTCTGTCAAGCAAGTACATCTTTGAATACTGGCTGTGGACTGTACCAAATACAAGGATCCCATGGACGATATGGTGCAATGCTGTTTAGGTATCAAGGATTTACAACTGTGCCTTCCACATGTTTAAACCAGGATCAACGTGCAACAGGGGCACATATACAGGAATTCATTAACCGTATCCCAATTTTTTTTTTTCACTTTGATCACCAGTAAACAAATTTGCTTTACAAGTACCTCAAAGTATGTTATTATGAGGCTATAATATATGGTGCACATAAAAAAAAAGCAAAGTTGATAAATGTACTGTGGAATTGAAACATTTCAATTAGATTATAATGATGATAGGGACATTTCTCTTAAGCATTTCCTCGACAAAAGCATTATCCAAGTCCACAAAACTCAGATGAAATCCAACAAAGGTTTAGCCTGCACTTGACCCTTATGTCCTGGTGTTGTCAGCACTTTTATCCCAAGATCCTATTCTTAAAAGAAAACCAAAGCGTCAATGTACTGTGTGTGCCTTGTACTACACTGCGCACCATTTAAAAAAATATATAAAATTAGGGTTAGGGTTGGGCCTTAAAACAAGAGACAGAATGTTCCACTGCGGGTGATGGACAGTCTTTCCTGACCTAAACTAGTGAGTGTTACTGTATGTCAGCTGTGTGATTTAAGGACACCAGAGTGTTGCTGAAGGATATTCCTTAACGGTTTGAGTCTGTAAAACCTGCAATGGAAGCTTACTTGCTTTCCGCATGAAAATGTTTCTATTTAAAATAATGAATATAGGTCAGTCAGCTGTTTCCAAAAAAGCTGACCACCTTTTAAAGAACCTCTAGAATAAACAGAATGAGGTCAACATTCAGCTAACTGAACTTCTGATTGGCCAATCGCAACTTTTGCTTTTTATCATGTGGGCATTTGCCAAATTACTTTTGTATTTTTAAGCATTGAGTTTCCAGTGTTTGTTTTGAAATGTTAAACATTGTCATGTTATATTGGTTTATGGTTGGCATATTTCTTTATTGCTGTATGTTGTCTTACCATAAAAAAATGTGAAACACGTGTGTTTATTACATTTACATGATGATGGAATGAAGAGCACTAAATGTGAGCAGATTTTTTGTCTCACTACTGCTTCTGCTCTGGTTCATAACTGTTTGTACTTTTATCCTATTGACAAAAACAAAATGTTTACATGTAAGTTGCCAACAAAGCAATCCTCTGAAACAGCCTTTGGAAGCAGCTTTTTACACCAAATAAAGTTTGCACACAATCATTGTTTTATTTATGTATTTATTTATAATGGTGTGGAAATGCAAAGTCTTCATCATGCTGTCAACATTTCCCCACCTCAATTTCACAGAAAATGACTCGGGGGACATAATTATGGGGAACATTTATTCAGCACAATCGTACAAACCACCAGTCTGTAAGAAACAAAACTGAGCTCTCCTTATGGCAAGTTATCAACATTGCTGAGTGGAAAAGTCTCCAATACTTAAATGAAGTGGAAAAACTCAGAGGAAACTGTTTTTAGGGTTCAGTGAGAGAGTCACAGCAGACAGATGTTTATCGTTCTCAGACATAATCACTCTTTCCTTCCCAGCTCACGACAGGTCAAGAGTTTATTTTTAACTCAGTGGGTAGTCTCCCTCAGGGTCATGGTCAATATTGTGGTTACTCACAAGAAGTAAAAAAAAATAGATAGGACTTGAGCAGCTCTCACGGGGTGTCCTTACACAATTTGACTATCAAATATACTGTAGTAACAAATCTGTATACCATTGTTGGGGGAATGACAACACACCATTGTTGGAGGAATGATGAGGAAAATACAGGACAAAGTTGTTTTTTTCGCTTTTATTCTTAAACGTGGCCTGGTACTGGTCTGCAGCCGTTTGTGGGAAATATTGCTTTATATAGGCCGGTGTTCAACCCCATTGCTTTTATGATATCAACAAGAAGTATCAAAAGGTGTCAAGTATTACAAGTGGGATTGAATGCCAAAAGTAAAAAAATAAATGACCCATTTAAAACATTCGCAAAGGAAACACAAAGAAAAACATACATAACAGTTAAAGTAAACAAAGGAAGACCATTCCAAATGTCAGCCCCTTAAAGTCTAGGCCATGGAACTATGCTGGTGGAAGGTGGAGGTAAAGGGTTAGGAGCAATGCATGCTGATCCAAGTGAAACTGCACTCCAGTTCTCCAGTTGTAATTTTGTCGGGAATTTTAACTTGAGGTCGGACTTCCTACTCGGAATCTCGGAGGTAGTACGCCATACCGCATCAGTAATAGACACTTACTGATAACATGTTTAGCTCTTCTGTATTGTTTGTGTCACATTAAACCAACTGTACATGTGGCACTGCTCGTCTTGGATCTGTGGATATCTTGGTACGATGTTTGTATTGACAAAATGCAAAATAAAGTGTGGTTATCAACCGGTATTGCTAACAGTGGTGACTGCTAAAGATGTAAACAAGAGGAACTAGTTTCCTGCGGAGGTCCAACTTTTTCTGACTTGTGCTACTGGAACGCAGTCAACTCGATGTGACGTCACTTCCAGTTCCCACCTCCGACTTCCAAAGAAAATGGAACGCAGCATTATACCAGACATTTGTGTCGAAGGAAGAAATGAGTCTGAAGGGTAAGCTGTTCACAAGATGATCAACCTGCAACTGTAAGCATGAGCCCTGAGTAGTAGAGATGTTAAGATTCACCGATTCGCATCGGTGCACCGGCATAAACGTTCAAGATGCGAGTGCACCGGTTGAAAGAGTGCACATCGGCTACAGTTTGGGTTGAACCGGGTTGAACTCGCGATGCATCGATTGCGTAGCATCTTTGCATCGGTAAAAAAACGATTCATTCATATAAAATCTTGTCAACGCTCAGCAGAGACGATCTTTGATATTTGCTTCGCCACTACGGAGGCCGAAATTCTCAGTTATCAACACACACGGAAGTTGAGGAGAAAGAGAAACACAGCGCACCGAAAAATACCTACAAATCAAACGTTTGGCAACACTTCGGATTGTTCAAGAAAGACGGTGTAATAGTCTTTTATGCTATATAGTTGACCGCAGGTCATGGAGAGTAATAAGGTATCCGTAGACCTTTGTATGAGGTATCTTTATTACTTAACAGGTCTACAGCCATGATACATAGATGCGAACTTGCATACACACAGTATCACTCCGCAGCCGCACCCCATCAGTAACGTCCTGATGGTATATGTGCGCGGCACTATATACTACAGACGGTCAACTTGAAAAATCACTCGCAAATTGTTAACGATGCCGAGCCGCTTTAAAGTACACAAGTAGTTCGAGGAACTTAGCGACGCACATAAAGAGGCGACATGGGGTCTGCGGCTGAAAAGAGAAACCTGAAAGTTAGACATATGAGTTAAATCACTCAGCGAGGTGTTCTGTCAGAGAGAGTGGTGTTTAGTTTACAGCAGCCTGTAACGGCCAATAATAATTTAAATGTCTTCCTTACTGTAAGCAGTTATGAAATACCTGTTTGTGAAAGGTTATTTGTATTCTTTATTGTTCATATAGAACCCACTGCTTTCTGCTCACTGGTGAGTTAGCCTATGAATGAGTAAGCACATCAGGCTGGCAGCTGTATGGGCATTGCACTATGGTAGCTGTTATTTGTACATTGTTAATCATGAGCAATGCATCCTTACATTGTTTAACTCTGAGGTGTTATACAATTGTACTGTAGTCTGGAGAGCTTTTAAAGGTAAAAAAATAAACGGCATGATGGGATGTGCAGTACCAAATATGTAAAGCACTTTTTTGTTAATGTATGATTTGCTGCATATAAGGAATAAAACAAAAATCCTCTGTCGTACCATATTGAAGTATCATTATTTTTGCATCTTGTTGAATTGCATCGTATCGCCCCGAATCGCATAATGTTGAATCAAATCGTATCGAACTGTATCGCAACAGTGAGTCGTGGCTATTGTAACGCTACGTCGCAGGTCCGTCGAAGGGCCAAGGTGTATAGGAACTCAACGTGTATCGAGTTGCTGTGTGTGTGTGTGTGTGTGTGTGTGTGTGTGTTGTGTGTGGTACTGAATGTTATTTGAGAGATAGTCTATAACTAGACATTTAGTTTGGAAAATTTATGTGGAAGTCCACGTGAGTCTTAGATGTGAACGATTGTGTGGTGTTCGTAAATACTCATGATTGTGACTGTGTAGATCTTGTGTATGTGTGAGTCGTGTGTGGTGTGTGTGTGTATGTGTTTTGGATGAATCCTATAGTGTGTGTGTGTGTGTCTTTTATGACATGTATGTGTTTACATGTCCTGTGTGTTAATGTGACTGGACGTAAGTGATCACCGGCGTGTGTCGAGACGCCTGCGTATTTCGACTCGTCGTGTCCCTACACGTAGGTAGTGACTCCGGCTACGTACCGCGTAGAGCTATGCAACGGTGCTATGCTATGCAATTGCTATTGGCAAAAAAGGTGGGGAAACTTTGTGTCCGCTACGCTATGGCTAT